ACACACCTACGTATTAAGGGGTAAACTGCCATGACACACGCAATTTACTCTCAAGGAGTTCAGAAAAAATAAATAAAACACATACGTGCACACACAGAAAGTAAGTCATTGATAAAGCAAATCAAGCAAAATATTAATAAATGAATGTTGATTAAAGGGTATATGGATGTTCTTTGAATATTCTTGCAATATTTCTGTGAATTTGAAATCATTTTGTAATAAAAAGTTTAAAAACATGGTGAATATATAATTTACTTTAATTAAAAACTGATTTTTTTTTTTACTCAAATACCACAAGCAACTCAAAGTTTATACAATTTTACAGACATTAGAATGAATGCAGATGCATGGCACAAACTGAGCAACTCAATTTTCGTTCTTTCCCTGATAACATTATTACTTTATAAAAAGGACCAGAGATATTTAGGTATTTTTAAGGTTAGAAAGCTAAAAAAAGAAAAAAAAATACTAACAGTCTGGTAATATGGTGCAATTGTTAAGAGCTTGGCTACCAACCGAAATGTCGGTGGTTTGAATCCACGCAGTGCCTCTGTTGAAGAAAGAACCTGGCAATCTGCTCCCTTAAAGACTGCTGTTACTGTTGTTAGGTGCTGCCCAGTTGGGTCCAAATTATAGTGGCCCTATGTACAACAGAATGAAACACTGCCCAGTCCTGCACCATCCTCACAGTCATTGCTATGTTTGAGCCCACTGTTGCAGCCACTGCGTCAATCCATCTCATTTGGTGGTCTTCCTCTTTTTCCATGACCCTCTACCTTATCAAGCATCATGTCCTTTTCCAGGAACTAGTCCGTCCTGATAACATATCCAAAGAATGTGATACAAAGTCTCAACATCCTTGCTTCTAAGGAGCATTCTAGCTATGTTTCTTTCAAGACAGATTTATTGGTTCTTCTGGCAGTCCATGATATACTCAACATTCTTCGTCAGCACTATAATTCAAGTGCATTAACTCTTCTTCAGTCTGCCTGATTCATTGTCCAGCTTTCACATGCACATAAAGCAATTAAAAACAGCATGGCTTGGGTCAGGTGCACTTTAGTCCTCAAAGTGACATCTTTGCTTTTCAACACTTTAAAGAGGTCTTTTGCAGCAGATTTGCCCAATGCAAATGTCATTTGATTTTCTGACTGCTGCTTCCATGGACATTGATTGTGGATGTAAGTAAAATGAAATCCTTGACAACTTCAGTATTTTCTCCTTATCATGATGTTGTTTATTGGTCCAGTTGTCAAAATTTCTGTTTTCTTTATGCTGAGGTGTAATCCATACCGAAGCCTGTAGTCTTTGATCTTCATCAGTAAGTGCTTCAAGTCCTCTTCTCTTTCAGCAAGCAAGGTTGTGTCATTTGCATATTGCAGTTTGCTAATGAGTCTTCCTCCAATGCTGATGCCAAGTTCTTCTTCATATAGTCCAACGCATTGCCATCGAGTCGATTCCAACTCATAGTGGGCCTACAGAACAGAGTAGAACTGTCCCATAGGGTTTCCAAGGAGCAGCTGGGTGGATTCAAACTGCCAGGCTTTTGGTTAGCAGCCTAGCTCTTAACCACTGTGCAACCAGGGCTGCTCATAAAGTCCAGCTTCTCGATTTACTCAGAATATAGATTGAACAAGCATGGTGAAAGAATGCAACCCTGACACACCTTTCCTGATTTTAAACCACGTAGTATTCCCTTGTTTTGTTCGAAGGACCACCTCTTGGTCTATGTGCAGGTTCCTCATGAGCACAATTAAGTGTTCTAGAATTCCCATTCTTCGCAATGTTATCTATAATTTGTTATGATCCACACAGTCGAATGCCTTTGCATAGTCAATAAAACACAGGTAAACATCTTTCTGGTATTCTCTGCTTTCAGCCAAAATCCATCTGACATAAGCAATGATGTTTCTTGTTCCACAACCTCTTCTGAATCCGGCTTGAATTTCTGGCAGTTCCCTGCCGATGTACTGCTGCAACCATTTTTGAATTATTCTCAGCAAAATTTTACTTGCATGTGATAGAAATATATTATTTGACAATTTCCTCATTCTGTTGGAACACCTTTCTTTGGAATGGGCAACAATATGGATCTCTTCTAGTTGACTGGCCAAGTAGCTGTCTCCCAGATTTCTTGGCATAGACAAGTGAGTGCTTCCAGCGTTGCCTCCATTTGTTGAAATATCTCAATTGATATTCTGTCAATTTCTGGAGGCTTGTGTTTTTGCCAATGCTTGGACTTCTTCCTTCTATACCATTGGTTCTTGATCATATGCTACCTCTTGAAATGGTTGAAAACTGACCAATTCTTTTTGGTACAATGTGTATTCCTTCCATCTTTTTTTGATGCTTCCTGCATCCTTTAATATTTTCTCCGCAGAATCCTTCAATATTGCAACTTGAGGCTTGGATTTTTTTCTTCAGTTTTTTCAGCTTGAGAAGTGCCGAGCATGTTCTTCCCTTTTGATCTTACAACCTAGCTTACAGCCTAGAAAACTCCACAGGGCAGTTCTACTCTGTCACGTAGGGTCACTATGAGTCACAATGGACTCCATGGCCCCTGAAAATAACAACAAGAGTTTAAAATAGGATTGGTAATTACTGTTGGACTTAAGTACTAACTGGTTGATCACACTGCTATTTGTGAGAGAGAATAGGCCAGGTAATTTTCTAAGAAGTCCCTTAAAATAGCAACCTTCCTTTTCCAGGTGTATTTAGCTGATTTCTAAAACAAAAGTAAAAATTAAAATGTTTCTACTCTAGGAGTTGTTTTCTGCCTAGGGCCTAAGGCCAAATTTTATTGCTTTGGCCCTAGAGAAGCCTTCTGGCACCCACCCTGTCTCCCACTCCACCCTCTATTGTTTAAACACAAAAGACTGGGCAGCTGGGACTCTGATCAACAACAAATCAGTGGCTTTTGGACTGTGAAACTTCTCTGGTATTGGCAGAAACTAATGTTTTACAATGAAGGTAAAACAAAGGGTAAGACCCTTGTTTCAGACCAAAGGCCTAGGGACAAGCTTGTTTTTCTTGCCAACTGTGGAACAGTGCTCTCCACTTGTGCCAGGAAGACGTGCCAATGCCAAATAATAGGGGACTTTTCTTAATTACAGAAACCAGAAGGGAAAAAAAAAATATGGCAAAGAATCAACTTTATTTTTTCTTACTAGTTTGGCTACTGTTATCACTAGCCGATACTGGAGTATGTGATTTCGTACAATCTATGATTATACCAGAATGAACTTATCTCTTTAGTTATTTTCAATTTAACACGTTTTTTTTCAAAGAGCAGCATGATTTAAGTAAGGTTGGGAATCACTGCCCTAAATGCTGTTACAGTTAACAGCAGGGGAAGGTCTTTATTACCTAGGGGCCACTCTTACACTTTATCTCGCTATTTTGCTAGCTATAAAGTTGGCCTCCAACTCCTGGCAACCCCAACAGAAGGAAACACTGTCCAGTCCTGCACCACCTTCATGATCATTAGTGTGTCTGGGTGCACTGTTGTGGCTGTTGCCAGCTCCACAGATTTTTCTAAACAAGTATCTGTTGACTAAGTGACTGATAAGACTAACTTTCATGCTGCTATAATTTTTACATTGCTATTTCCAGAGAACTCTGACTAAATAGGAGAGATGTTTACTTAGATAATAATGGGACTTAAGAATAACTTTTTCAGCATTAAGATACATTCTCTAAAAAATTTTTGGTAGTTTATATTGATAATACCTACTAACGCAAGGTCTTCGACATTGACTTGAAATGATAGCCTTGCAGTCTTTGAAAAGCACTTTAAGCACAAGCACATAGCATTGCTCTATAAATATTAGCTATGTTATTTTAACATGGCAATAATTTTAATGGACTAATCCACAGAAATTACTCAAGACTAAAGACAACCTGCACAAAGTAGATGTGTAATAAGTATTTGGTAAATCATGGAAAGATGTTGACTGGCAGAACAGAGAGTAACACAAATGGTTTTAAATTTACTCAAGGAACACTATACAGTAGTAAAAATGAATCAAAATAGAACCACATGACGCATTTCAAAAACGTTGAAAAATATAAGCAAGTTGCAAAGTGTTATATATAGTATAATGGCATTAACACAAAATTTAGAATATGCAAAAAATACCATACATCATTTATGGATGCACAGTTTGCTGTAAAAGTATAAAAGCATGCAGAATCATTGAGTATAACTCCAGGGGATGCTATCTTCATCCCAAGTCCTGAAAACATACATTGGCATGGAAACTTCCAGCTCAGAAAAATAGTTACCCCTAAGAGACAAAGGTGAGAGTAACAAGGATTAGGGAGAGACACATAGAGGGCTTTAGTTTTATTTATGATTAAATAAGCATATTTGAAGCAAATGTAGCACAGTGGTAAGGTATGATATGCTATGTGGTGGACACACAGATGTTACATTATTCCCTATACTTGAAATATTACCTAATGTATGAATTCTGATACATGTAATGAGAAAAAAAATGAAAATTTCTTGGTTTCAGTAATAAAGCAGTAGCTATAATCATAACCACATATTTTTATTGTAAAGTCTCAGTCTCTATCAAACTCCTAATAAATTCAGAAATAAAATATTTGATGTTCTCAAATAAAATAGAAAAAAGATAGCTATACACAACCTTTACAAGTATGAAAATAACTTAGATAATTTTATACTCAAGTCTTTTTGTGGGGAGACTCAAGGAAAAAGACACATTGTGGCTACCTCTAAAGAAGATGATCTTACTTAAACTTTGGGAGTAGAGGCCTAAGACACATGTGCTGAAATGCTCACTCAAACCTGAAGTTTAGCAGCTGCTTGAGGAAAAAAATATAGCAGTCAAATTCCAAAGATACCTTCTTCAAATCTTGACAATTAGCAAACTCCTAAATGGCAGCAATCTCCTAGATTTCCTGTCTCAGTATGAATAATCCCAACACTCATGTCAGCTACTAAAATAAAACTTAGAAATGTACAGTTAACATACCAAAATGTCCATCCCGGGAACATACTTGAGGGATATCTTATAGTCTTTTGGAAGATTTGCCACCTACAGAGAGCAAAACAGAAACAAAACAAGAATTCCATAAGAAAATTCATGCACATCAATTCATCATAGTTTTTTTTTTTTTTAGAAGTTTGGAGGTGGGGGGGGGGAGAAAAAAAAACCCAACATACAAACAGTGTCAGTGGCCAGCATCACTGGGGAACTTGTAAGAAACACAAATCCTCAGGCCACACCAGACCTACTGAATCTTGCTTAACAAGCCCTTCACACTCAAGTCTAAGAATTACTGTTCTTTGTTGATCATAAAAAAAAAAAAAAAAGAGCTAGAGAACAACAAAATACTATTTAAGAGATGCACATGCTTTATGACTTAAATAATTTAGAAAGAGCCAGGGTTTTATAATATAACTTAATCTGCTTACCTAGGGCTCTGTGACCTTTTGAACATTTGAGACGCCTCAAATGTTTGCCTGGCTTCTTTTAAATTAAAAAAAAAAAAAATATTTCCATCAGTCACTGTGGCAGAAGTAAACAAGAACCAGGTTTGGAATCACAGAGTTTGCATCAAATCTAACCTCTTTGTACCTTTGTACAGATGGTTTCCCTCATCTGTAAAATGGAGATGAAAGTACCTGTATAAAATTGTCATTGTAATAACACATAAAAGACGCTGGGTCCATGTTCTTTATTGAGAGCTCTACTGGCAACCAACTTCCTAGGCGTATATGGGGTTCTAGGTTTTCCTATCTCCCTTCCTACCTATAACCTCAACACCTTCACCCTCATCTTTCTTTTAGATCACTGTCTGTTAAAATTCCTAGCTGAATAATGTAGGCAACAATTAGCCTATTGGGTTTTAAAACAATACACACTGTAAAAAAATTGGTTTTGCACTATTATGTCTTCCCCGCTTTGCAGTCTTTCATTTCCCCCTTCATTCTCTGTCTCTAACAACTTTACTTTCCTCTATAATAAATGGGGACCATGTGTATGTTTGCTGAGCTAGGTCATCTCCAACAAGTCTCCCATAACATTATACATAGATTTTTTTTTTTTTCCTGGTCTTGTCAATAGCTTCTAGGATCTGAGAACAATTTGATGAGGAAAGAATTCAGCGAAGGCGTAAAGTAGTCAGAGGGAGGCCAACGTAATAACTGATCCCACTGTGCTCGGAAGAATTTTCCTTCCAGGCATACCATCTCACATTCATCTCACCCCCCAAAAGCAGTCGCCTGGTTTGGCTGCTCCTTCTTCAGTTTATTTGATCATAACAGTGTCTAACACTCATTGAAACTTATTATGGGCCAGGCACTGTGCTCATTAAGGGCTTAACTTGCATTATTCGCATCCAATCCTCAGATTTGTCATATATTACCCCTATTTTACAAGCAAAGAAATTGAGCTCAAAGATATCAAGCGACTTGACTGAGGTCACATGGCTTCCATGTAAGGGTTACGAACAAGATCTGTTCCTGAGCGTGTCTTTAAGAATTTGTAGGTAAGTCCGAACAGGTGCATATGGTTCTTACTTAGCCTTACTTTAGTACAAGAAAAGGCGGAAACCTTTTCAATAATTTAAAAGCTGCGTGTGCAGCAAGTGAATGTGACTGTGGTGAAGAATTTGTTGTGAGTCTAGGTTGGTTCAATCATTTCCAAGTGAGAGCCGATTTACGTAACATTAAAGGGCAGGTAACAGTTGCCCATAAGCCAGACAGACGTTCGTAACCTGGGGATTGCCTTTATTAAATCTGGACTGGAAACCACATCTCACTGACAGCAGAGCTTCCCTGCCTCTTAGCTACACTGTATGTTTTCATCTGCCCTCTGGACACTTGGGTATTTTCCCTACATGAGTCTCCAACATCATGCTTCTTCATGCTATTCCCAATAAAACAACAAGATCCTCGCTCCTTATTGAAAACACATCTGAGCTGTCACGGAAGGTCTTTCTCACTGTTTTCATTTACTTTAGGGTTACCCTTGTACTTTACACTTAACTTTCTTTGTCTTGGTCAAACTTTCCACCATGCCTCCCATGCCTCTACAATTTCTTTTGTCTTCTGAATCTTCATCTCCATCCTTGAAGAGCAAAATGACCTAGTCCTTTTATGTCCTGTGCTCAGAGTTAGCCCCAGTGGAAGAGACACAGTAGATACCTTTGCAGGTGTGAAAGCTGATATATCAGACCAAGCAGCAACATTTCATTTTTTTTAATGAATCAACCATGTAAATTAAACCTACTATTCCAGAGACAGAAACATGGCAAGAAGTGACAGGTATTCTGAACACGAGCTGCTTGATAATCTAGTCCCTTCCCGAGTATAGTGTACACTATTTAAGAAATGCAAATACAGAATTGATTGAATTAGGATTCAGAAAACTGAGGATCTGGGTCTATCTAAAGAGCAGAGAAAATGTTAGGGATGCGCTGGTCAATTCCATTTTATTAGTAATTTATATATAGAAATTGGTTCAAAGAAACCAAAGAAGGTTTATGAGAAGTTTTTTGACCAAGACATTGAAATCACCACACTTTACCCCCTGGGGGAAATGTATAAGTTTATTGCTGCATTAAGCTTATTTCTTAATATTTAATTTCTGATGGGACTGAAAAATAATACTATTTTTGAAAAATGGTTCACCATTTATAACAAGTTATCATATACAGTCTACCACAATTTTATGAGGTACATATTATTAAATCCATTTTACAAATGAGGACACAGAGGCTCAGCGAGGTCATAGGCATCAGGAGTAACTGGTAGAGGTAGAACGCAAACCCTGGCTCTGTGTGCTGTGCTCAGCATAGTCATCTATAGGGCAATCTCCCATTTATGACTTTCCTGGTTTTCATTGGTTCCTTTCCAATTACATTTGGAAGAGAACTTAGGAAGTCAGGTTGTACATATTTATGGTCATTCATCAGCTCCTCTGATGTATATTGATCATTGGAGAAAGTTTTACAGAGTAGAGGGAGTCTCTGGCCAAAAATTTGGAAGACGTTCCTTAGAAGCAATTAGTTTCATAGGGGGGTCAGCAGCACACATTCTGGAAACAAGCTGCTCCTTTGAATTCTGGCCCTTCCACGTGCTAACTTGGGCAAGTTACATAATCTACTTTAGCCTCAATTTCCACATCTGTAGAATGGGAATGATATAATCTGGCTAATGGATTCATAAGGATTAAGTGTAAATTTTAACTCATGCAAAATACTTAGTGCTTAGCACGGTGTGTGAACATATGAGTTTCTATTATTAGTAATTGCGAGGGGGTGGGGCATTCTAGAGAGAGAAAAGGATATATGCAAAGGCAAAGAAATGGGAAAGCAGATGGAGTGTTTCGGAGAGGAGGGAAGACAAATCAGGCTGTAGCAGATAAGAGGCAGAAATAAGCCAGGAGAACCACACTGGAGGACCTGAAGCTGGGCTAAGCAGGTCATATAGAGGCAGGGTGGGCACAGGGAAGTTCAGCAGGAAAAGTTCTACCCTCAGAAATCTACAACAAGTCACTTCTGGCTTAGGTATGTTGCTTCAATTCTGTGGAACTACCACACCTCATCTGTAAAATAAAGAGGGCAAGCTAGGTTGTTACTTAAAAAAAAAAAAAGAAGAAGATCCAGTCAGATTTAACTTTTTTTGTCTAAGGCATGGGGAAGCACTGAAAAATAAGGAGGAAACCTGACGGTACATTCAGGAAGATAAGCCTGGAAGAATGGATCGGAGCAAGAGAGACTGGAGACAGGGACAGGTGAGGAAGCCACCAGTTAAGTGCTGAATATATGTTAAATACTTATACAAAGACTGTAAATTAGCAAAGCAGTAATGGAGTCTATATTCCAGGAAAGTATGCTGTTGGTAAGGGTTAGATAGACAAGTAACTAAGGCTACATATTTTGAAAACAAACCTATCCTAGTACTTTTGCCTTACATAATCCACTTTATGCAAGGTCTGAAGTGCTGGGATGTCAGACTATGCCAGACTGTAAAATACATAAAACGATCAAAACAAGCCACTTGATGATGGGCTAGCTTTATTAGGTGGGCCCCATCTGCTATCTCTTTTGGATGTCCTGAGGACTGATCATACTTAGTGACACTAAAAAAAACAAACAAACTCACACATAGGGGAATGGCAAGCAAGAGTATGGGAAACTAGGCCAAGAAAAAGTCATCGAAAGCCAAACAAGCACTGGCTGCATACCATACCCTGCAGGTATTTGGACTCAGGAAAAAAAGAACTTAGAGCCAGAACACTTAACTCCCCCGCTTCAGATCATGGATCTAAAACTTTTGGGTCTCATGATTCGAACATCACTGAGGTCCTTAAATCTCATGAAATCAGCAGCTGCTCGGACCTTCTTGAAGGGTAGCTTGCTTGTCCCAGTTACTTCTCAAGATGAGAATCAAATTGCATGTGACTCAGATTCCCTTGACACTGTATATAAAATATTATGCTTTTTAAGGAAAGGATCCACGGTTTTCAGATTCTCACTGTCATCTATGATCCGGAGAACTCATAACAACAACAATCAGATTGCCAGGCTTATCTTCCGTGACACCACCGGGTGGGTTAGAACCACCAGCCTTTAGGTCAGTCATCATTGTAGTTAATTGCATCAAGTCAATTCCAACTCATGGCAGCACCATGCGTGCAGAATAGAACAATACTCCTTAGGGTTTTCGAGCTGTTCCTTTTGGAAGCAGATTGACAGGTCTGTCTTCTGAGGTGCTTCTGGGTGGGTTCGAAACACCAACCTTTTGACCAGTAGTCAAGCACTTAACCTTCTGAGCTACCCAGGGACCTAAGATAAAGTGATTACTACCCAAGAAATAAAATTCAAGAGGTTACAATGATAATACCTAAACTGTAGTTGAAACTTCTATCTTAAATTAATGGGAAAGGCATTATAAATTATGAACTGGGTTCTTGTGTTCCAAAAGTAAATTGTTATGGGTTTAAACCTCCACTCAGCTTCCTAATCCCAAATGATTCTAGATAGATTACTTAATTTCACTAGGTCTCACATCATACAATTGTGAGGA